TTTTTTAGTTTTGATTTTGAGCAGCAAATTTGGAGTTACATATTGGTGCTCACCAGGAATGCATAGGCAAAATTGCACAAATTTTCACTTGAAAGAATAGTGGCGATCTTGGGATTTTTTTCTGTTCAATTTTCAAACTGTGTAAATTTAATACACTTCATCTTCAGCATGTTTAGTGCCACTTTTGTAAGTAACCACGCCCCCGTCCCGGCCACGCCCCGTCCAGGCCACGCCCCTTCCGCTTTTTTCATCACTCGCCATTGCCATGTATGTATAATGGTCAACAGCAGGAACACTCAGAGGTTTGTCCATCCATTTTAATTAAGAACTTTTAACTCAAATGTTGAACCACTCAATTTTCATATGTTAGCAGAATTGCTGTCTGCCAAGAAATTTTTCCGTCCCTGACTGCAGTTAAGCACCAGTTTGAGAGGCTTAATGGCCGCCACACTGATCCAACGTGTAGCAGGATGGGACGATTAATCAACCTATAATCAGATTTCAATTTTTGCCTCTCGATATTTAAAACATTAAAATACAAGAAAAACAATGTGAACGGCAGTGCGGTGCCTTTACAAATTCCCAACATTTTGAAAGTATGTAGTGTATGTGATTCTGCTGTCCCTGAGCCTGCTTTAATGTGTTTAATGACAACCAGTTGGAGTTTACTGCAAAACTAAATACTCAACAAAAATAATTACAGCCCATTGTATATTTAAATTCAAAACATGCTTTGTTTTTAAAACATCTCTAGCGTGAATGCTAAAGTCAATGTAATTGCTCATTGACATGCTAAGAACAAATTAGCATCAACTTCGGAAGTGATATTCCTTTCAATTATGAATATTCACACACAAATTATGTGGAAACTCATACACATAGGTAACGTAACACTAAGACATTTTTTTCCCCAATCAGTGAAAAGCCAGTTTCATTAATAGAGCTCAATTTCAAACTTTCTTCTCACCTCATTGTTGTACTCCATCCATACACCACATTGCCAACATACAAAGGAACTTCCGGTATTTGTCGTTTTTTTTTTTTTTTTTTCCTAATTGGTATTATTTTAGTATAGAATTACTTTCGCACTGATTTTATTTTTTCATTGTCCTTTCAAGTTATATCTAAAGTTGAGTTTTAAAGGATCCAAGGAATATTCCATCCATTAAGATAAGAAAACCTCTATTGTCTCACAATGGACAAATTCACACTTGTAGCAGCAAAATTTGGAGGGAAGAAAGTGGAAAACAAGTATTTGCATGCACCCAAAAAAAAAAAAAAGTTTTATCCTCACGTGGGTCGTGGGCATGCTGGAACCCGTCCCAACTGTTTTTGGGCCGTATGCAGGGTGCACCCCGAACTGGTTGCCAGCCAAACGCAGTCAAGGAATTTCCCTTTCAATGATACAAAGATCCAATCCTTTTTTTTCGTTTTTATACCAACACATTTCCACTTGACATGGCACAAAATACAATCCCTGAGGTCCCAGGTTAGCCCAATAAGTCCCAACAGTTGTGAAAATAAAATAACGTAAAATAAATATGATAGAGATGAGGCCCAAGGGTAGTGCTTATTTATGTCTTCAATGTGTGCAAAGATGCAGGCAATAAAAAGTATGAATCTCGGAGAATGAAAATGTAAGAGCCTTGAATTTCACATATTTACATGTACTTGACAAAAAGATTTTAAAAAAGTGTTCAATGTGCAGGGATGAATGGGCTTTGATGATGGTTTTGAGTACCGATAGTTGAGGTTTAGTAGTTGAATAAATAGTTCATTGAAAAATCAATACCTAATCATTTTTTAACAGTTATTTCAATCTCAGTCAAAATAATTACGATTGACATAATCATCCATCCTTAACGTGCAGTACAGTTTGCACTCTCTGTGGCAAGTTTCCCGAAAGAGGATCTGTTCTTGATGAAACCATGAATGTGCAGGCTAGTCCTTCGCGCAAAGCCAGGCTCATCCTCCTTTATTACAGCTGCACTGGAACTCGGCTTAAGAAAAGCCTGATTCAGAGGATGCTTCAAAAGGTAATAAAACATCACCAATCACAACTTCTGTTTGTTCGAAGGATTCAAGATGAAGATTATGATGCTCACTGGAAGGTGGGAGGGGGAAATATGTCACTCCAAATTATCTGCTCCATCGAGAGTTTATCAATGCTGAGTTCCAGTGCAGCCTCCCAATCGACCCTTCCCACCCCTTTGCGTGAACGTCTGTGCGGTGTTATCATGACTTGTGGTAGTAGCAAGTCTATAGCTGCATGTTTTGTCAAGAACAGATCCTGTTTCAAGAAGCTTTCCATGGATAGCGTAAATTGTACTCTGCATGAAAGCAGCGTGACGACCAGAAAACTTCTTAAACTGTTGCTAAAAAGCAGTCAGGGACAGAAACAATGTTTGGCCATGGTAATCATATACTTACAAGAACTGCAAAACTTAAGCTGTCAAATGCTGATGGCCTAACCTCTGCCTGAATGATACCTGAGGCAAAATAGAAAAAAAGGTCGTGTATAGTGGCTTTCGGGGCACGCTCTACTATTAATGGCTCGACTATTAAGCATCCAAACTATTAAAAAAAATCAATTTATGGTCCAAAAAATATGGTTAGTGTAATCACAGGAAAGGAGGCATATGTTTCTGTTTTCTTTTTTTAAATGCATGACTCACTGGTGGTCAACGAGGGCACAGTGTCTGTTAGAGTGGAGGGCATCTCATTGAGGAAATACAGAGCAAACATTTCTGCACTCGTGTCCGATTTCGCTGTGTAATTACAATGTGGATTGCATTTTACAGCATGTGAGTGATGTTGCTAATACAGGTATATTGTTGTTTTATTGGCGAACGTATATGATAGTTGCATCATGTCACATTCCTAAAGGCAATAGGTTTGGGTTGTACGTGTTAGAAGCGCAACCAACCATGAATGGTTACGTGCTGAGGGAATCTCGAGTGTGTCATCTGGCAAAGTTAAAGGCTTCTGATTACACATCAGCTTTAGCCACAGGCAACTAATGATCGGCTTTGTTGTATGGACCCCTTTGATTTGTTCAGGAAGGGGATGGACACGCCCAGAGTCACACAAAGCCTGTGCTGCATACCACATTGAAAGCACTCTCTCTGTTAATCACTCACTAGTTTCATCTACTGCACACAGTCATACCTCCTCTAAGAAAGTATGCAGTGTCTTATCAAAGTCTGGCCCTGTAATCAACCAGGAGTCAGATTCAGTCTGAGCACAGCTCAGCCTACCACAAAGGATTTTCTGGAGTAGAGCTTCCCTTGTATCGCCCATGGCCCAACATTCCATGAGCACTCACTTGTACAGTATTTGAAAGTGAGAAGTGTGAGAATACAAAAGACAGTGAGAAGCAGCCAATGGCATACTGTTAACAAAGCAGGATCATTTGAGAAACCTCAAGTTGTAGGAGTGCTCGAGGTGAGGATGTTGACTTTTGAGTCGAAAATTCTACCAACTGCTGACCACATATGGATAGTTTCTCCCTCTTAACTTTGCAAGAGGAACTCACTGACAAGGATTCCTCAACCCCCAACTGGGGAGAAACAAGGACACTTACTGTGAGAACGAAACATAGCTCGCAGAAATGTGGACTACCTGCCAGACTGGATTTCAGCAAAGTGGGAGCGGGGGGAGATTCAATAGCAGTCTGTGTTGATGGTGCTTACAAATATTACTGGACTGGCAGTGGTTTCTGAGTTCCCAATTATTCTAAATAGTCCACACACTGTATGTTATGATATAATAGTATTGCAGTTGATGTGCAGTGCATAATGTCAGGCACATAACAAGCGCTGCGCTTGCCAAGAATCTCTTATGTTCCCAAATTAATTTCCTGCCACCCATATGGTAACAGAATATACATCCTAAGCAGTAAATGGCTCGTTGTGTGATGCTGTTGAGAACTGCAGCTCATCTAAGTAATGTAAATACTTTACTCTGGAATTGTCCCCCAACCTTTAGCCTCATTTCATGGTATACAGTAAACCCCCATTTTGTTCAACAAAATTATGATTTTGTCTAACTCCACAGACGGGCTGAAGGAAATTAGCTTAAAAGTCATGGTAATTCTAACCCTTCAAACAACTGCTTCTTTAACACATACAGAGCAGCAACACATACAACAATGCTGTATTGTCTCTTCTGTGTGGGAACATTAACCAGCTTCTGTAAATTGGGGACCTTCTTAGTCTCTTCTTCTTGCTCTGAATTATGCTGCATCTCTTCCAGTAGGCCTCAGGGCTGCCGAGCATGTTGTGACACAACATGGTACTACGCTGAAGGCACGCAACTCTAAACTCAGACATGCGGAAGTACTGTATTAAAAAAAAAAAAAACAACACACACAGTAATATAATCTCAATAATTAAATGACTACAGAAGTGTTTATTTGTCCGAAATGTTCACAAGTTCTATTTTTAAAAAATCTACGTTACACAGGGGGGTCCTGTAACGTTGCATAAGAATGAGTGATAATGAAATGCGGAATGACTTTGAAAAGTTATTATTGTAGAGAATATCTGTTCGCCTCAGTGATTTGACATATTTAAATCTGTATTGCTGATCATATACACATCATTTAATATGTCCTGGCCTTCTGTTCAAAGTAATCTTTGAGCAGCTCTTGTCATAGTAACCATAATGGAGTTATCGCAACAGATCAAAGGTACTCATACACATTTTCAGAAAGCTAAACGTGAAAATTCTATTTAAAAAGAACAACTTTATGAAATTTCTGATAAGTATTTTTATAGATATATCATTGTTAGAATTGGGCACCAGGGCATGGAGCAGCATAGTGATGATATCAGATCAATCGAAGCACATGCCTTGGTCATGAAAACAGTCTGGAATTTGACTTTGCCAACATTGAAACCTTTATTATTGTAAATATAAGACTTGATCGATACATATGCCTTTCAAAACTCTCAGAAATGCCACTGACACAATAAAAACCTTTGGAAATATTTTTTTATCAATTTATAATTTGCTGGCAGTCGCTACAAAAATGTTTCATGATTATAATTTGGTGTAAAGTGTATTCGACATTGTTGTGTGAATCGTGGGGTGTTGAGTTCCCCGATGTGTTTTTGTCAAGTTTCCCCCGTTTCCTTCAAAGGCACGACAGGTGGATGCCAAAAGAATTTCAATAATGAGGGAAAAGTCAATTTATTTAAAGAATTTGTTTCAAAAAGTGAAACTTATGTTTTATGAGTTCAAAGATGTCTGATCCTTCTTGTCAATCTTGCTCAACAATGGAGTCAGACATCCTTTTTTTTTTTAAACCCTTTTCATATATTTTAGAAATTTGCATTCTTTACGCTGCCCAGTGGTGTTCCAACTTTTACCACTATGCCTTTTCCAGAGTAATTGGTCCAAAAAGAGCCATTGTGAACCAAGACCAAATTTGTCATAAAACACAAGGTGTATCTTTGCTTTGGTCTTAACCATTTATCTCTGCAGTTATTCTGAACATTGTTTCATTCATGTCATTGCAGCCATTTATGCCATTGGCAAGGCTTAGCTGTTCCCCAAATGTTCACCACTTCCTGTGCCAGGCTTTTTTCCCGGTATGCACTGAGGAGAATACAGTGCTTCAGCCTTGCCGAGAAGACTGTGAGGCTGTAATGTCCGATTGTCGAGAGAACATTCGGATTTTTGGAATTGTCTGGCCTCCTGAGCTACAGTGCGACAAGTAAGTAAGACCCATCCACAGGAGTCATGCAAAATAAGTCCATTGGGAAAAAAGCAAAAGAAATTCTTGCCATTTATTTTGTGCTAGACTTGACTCATGTGGCCTTGGAGATGACTCCAAGCTTCCTGCAACCACCCCAATGAGCTCAACATTTGCGAGGAGGGACTTGGGCTTTTGGTGCCCACTGCAGTTAAAAGCCAAAGCTGGCCACGGCGCATCATTCCTTGGAACTCAGGACTGTGCTCCACCTTGTTCCAATATGTATTTTAAACCCCACGACATTGAATTTGCCAAGACTTTCATTGGCGTTTGCTCCATCATTTGCTTGGGCGCCACTCTCTTTACCTTCCTTACTTTCCTTATCGATGTCAAACGCTTTCGCTATCCCGAGCGCCCCATAATCTTCTATGCAGTTTGCTACAGCTTTGTTTCACTCATATACTTCATTGGCTTCCTGCTGGGCAACAGTGCAGCCTGTAACAAGGCAGTCCATCCCAGCGGTGTGGACACAGTTGTCTTGGGCTCTCAGAGCAAAGGCTGCACTCTGCTTTTTATGCTGCTCTACTTCTTCTCGATCGCTGGAATCATCTGGTGGGTCATACTCACCATCACCTGGTTCCTGGCAGCTGGACCCAAGTGGAGCTGTGAAGCCATAGAGAAGAAAGCGGTAAGATTAAAAGATGATGTCTAAAAGTGAGCAATTGAAAAGATTTGGCCCTGTTCTGACAAGACTGAAATTAACTTGAGGCTTCAAGTATGATCAGAAGTGACAGGCTTTAATGTGCATCAAGTCAGGGTAATGTTGCACGCTGTTCAAAGGTCTCTTGTGTATTTTGCCTTTAGGTGTGGTTCCACTCTGTCGCCTGGGGAATCCCCGGAGCGCTAACGGTCATGCTGCTAGCTCTAAACAAGGTTGAAGGGGACAATATCAGCGGAGTTTGCTTCGTGGGACTTTACGATCTGGAGGCCCTGCGCTTCTTTGTTATCGCTCCACTGTGTGTGGGCGTCATCGTCGGTCTCTTCCTCATCCTTGCCGGCATCATTTCTCTGAACCACGTGCGGCAGGTTATCCAGCATGACGAGCGCAACCAGGGGAAACTCAAGAAGTTCATGATCCGAATCGGTGTGTTCAGCTGCCTCTACCTGGTCCCACTGGTCACCCTGTTAGCATGCTACACTTACGAACAAAGTCAACGCAGCACCTGGGAGAACACATGGATCAATGACCACTGCCAAGAATACAGCATCCCCTGCTCATATAAGGTAAGCGTACCTCTGCAACACTTCCAGGTGGTATAGTAGAGGAACAAGCTAAGGATAAAGAGGGGAATGGAGTATTTTTTTTCTAAATCGCTTGGTGGAGTGGAGAAAAGCTGCAGTGCTTTTTAAAGTCACATGTCTTCAATCACAGATGGGCACAGATACTACAAGTAGTGTAGAAGGCGAGGATGGTGAGCCCAAGTGAACAAAAATAATACCTGCACCTCACTTGCATATATTTGGTATTTTATGCATGAACCCTGATGATAAATGCAAATTGCATATAAATGAATGCAAAGTACTTTGTACAAAACAGAGGTGAGTTAATATGCTAAAATATTACATAAACGGAAAATCTATATTACAATTCAACCAATAGATTAATTTACTGTATCATTATCAGAACTAAAGGAATGTGGCTGACCCAACTCAAGATGAATTCTATGACTTCTTTTATCGGCATTCTCTTTTTTTACCGTAGAATATTGTACCAGTAACGCAATATCCATCAGTCCATTTTTAACATTTTTTTTGTTCTGCTGAGTCTTTTCTCGGGTCACAAGTGAATTGGAGCCTATCCCAGATTACTTTGGGCGTGTGTCGAGGTACACCCTGAGCTGGTTGCCAGCCAGTCGCAGCACACATATTGACAAACATCCACTCACTCTCACACCTATGTGCAATATGTGTCCTGCGTGCAATATAAGCCTCAAGTCCACACTACCACTACTGCTGCTGCTGTTGTGTGTTGTTGAGTTATGTATTTATTAAACCGTTATTTTATTCAATTTTATTTATTTTTTTTACGAAATGCACGAAGGAGTGGCACCCAAATTTCGTTGTATGCTACACAATGACAATAAAGGCGATTCTGATTCTGATTCTATGGACAATTTAGCGTTTGCAATTAAATTCCGGTAAGAAGCATGATTTTGCAATGAGGGAGGAAGCCATCGCACCTGGAAAAAATTCACACCGGTGAACATGCAAAGTCCACACAGGGAGGCCAGAGCCCAGATTCAAACCCCCAATCTGAGAACTATGATGTGGATGTGCCAAAAAAATGATATGGATGGAAAAAAAGTTTCAGCCAAGTGCCTAAGACTTTATTCCATAAATGTAAAATGTTCCCCTGCTTATTGAATACGTATTTTGTTTAATTTTCCATGTCAGGCAACCGAGCATGAGCGACCGGACCTCTCTCTGTTCCTTGTAAAGTATTTGATGACCCTGGTTGTTGGAATATCTGCAGTGTTCTGGGTCAGCAGCAAAAAGACTTGCTCTGAGTGGGCCTACTTTTTCAACAGGACCCGCAAAAGAGAGTAAGGACGTTTTGTCAATGTTGGCATCGATGACAGACATTTGTAGTTTTTGGCCACTCTTCTCAATGTTTCGTGATCCACAGTCCCATCAGCGAGAGCCGCCGGGTGCTCCAGGAGTCCTGCGAGTTCTTCCTCAAGCATAACAGCCGTGTCCAGCACAAGAAGAACCATGACAAGTCAACCTCGCACAAGCTCAAGGTCATCTCAAAGTCTATGGGCACAAGCACGGGCGCCACGCCAACCGATGGCTCCATTGGTACAGGAGCCTCACCTCTGGGAAATCATGAGCTCCATACCCAGGGCAAGGGCACTTCAAGCCGAAGCGCCAGGCGTGATGACAGGGAGCGGGAGCGAGAAGGGGGAGGGAGACGTAGCAAAGGAGGGAGCTCCGGTAAAGTGAGCTGCCAGTCGGGGAGTTTACACAGCAGAGTACCGGATGCAAGGTAAGTTGATTTGTTATTGCACACATGTTCTCTTCCAGTCAGTGCATTTATTTTAAAGCCACAATTGTAACAAAATTGTATTTGTTGAAAGACTATTACTGTCTTCTCTGGATTCCCACAATCAGTTCTGGGATACTAGTCCTCCACTGTTTCAAAAATGTTTCCTCAAGGAACTCATGGAAAATGAAGTAATCCATTCCATTATGCTGAAACCTTCGTTTGTGTCCTAGGATGACACCAAAGAGTGAGCAGTCAGAGGTCAGACCAGTTCCGATCATACAGCAGGATTCAGCTTTGAGTCCATGTTCTAGCATCGAGGACTCCACCCACCAGTTGGTGCCCAAGGTGTCTGGGGAGGAAAAGGACAAAAATGACAGCAACTGCTGAGACACTCGGTTAACAAAATGTCCCCGTACACTGACGGCAGGTTTCTATGGTTCGCTTGAACTTGATTGTATCCGTTAGTTGAGGAAATGTTACTGATTGTGCACAGCCAAAATGTAATATTTACATCCACAATTTCTAAAGTATTTGTTTATCTTTCTGCATTCTGGGAGGATTGAAGAGATGTGGTAATTTAGTCACGTTTTTACCTGTACGGCTCTATGCCAACTACTATATTACCTGTGGATCGATTTGAAACATTAAGTCTTTTGCTCAATGGAAGTCTTAATGCAGAATGATTCCCCCCCTCCATTAAACGAATTAGTCACTACACTGGGTATTTTAATGTGAGGTCATGATGTTTCCAAACCTTCAATGTGAGGGAAGTGCCCCCGTGTGTTTTTTATGTACTGTATTCCTTTAAAGAGAGTTTGTCTCTCTCGTCTAGTTCCTGCTTTAAAAATAAGTCGTGATAGAAGGAGTTAAGATGTTTGTCATTCTATGTTTTTATATATATATATATATATATATATATATATATCTTTCCTCTTTCTGTTTCAGTTATTCAGCTCTTAACTGTGTTTGTTGTCCAGTGAATGTTGGTTTTAAATGTGTTTTTAATTTGAGAAGTTGCTCTCAATTTGAAAGGTAAAAGCAGATGTTGAACATGATGTCAGCGTTGGCGTCCTAGTTGAAAAATCAATCAGTGGAAACAAAACTCGATAATATGACGATGTAAAGGCTACTTATTTTAAAAAAGGAATTGAAAAATGGTCATTTGCAAATTTGTTACGGGATCATTTTTAAAAGATATAACATTTAAGTACTTGATTCATTGTCTAATTTACTGTTCAAGGAATGTATTTGTGTTCCTTAAAATATTGTAACCTTTCCGTTGAAGTGTCAACGTCGTCTAAATTTGGCCAATTAAAAGGGAGCATTTGTGGAACTGTCATCTGTTACCTATGCGGATAATGAACTACAGCTTTCTATTGTATTTACTCTTGTGACATTTTTGTTGCTGTTGCTTTCCTAACTGTTTTAATTGTACCTTTTCGAATTTTGTGTGTACTTTTTATACCAAAAAAAAAAAAGATTTAAACGTAAATAAAACATTGGCTTTCGTGCATTGATGTCCTCCTCCCCTCTAATTATGCCATTATCGCCAGGCATGCATGTCGCAGTGCAGACATTTGGTCATAATGTGGGACATGCTCTCATGAGTGTGTTGCTGGGCTGTTTGCTTTGGAACGGTTTTCTTCAGGAGCGTTGGCTGGCCCCTTCCCGCTGGTCCTGCCCTCCCCCTGCATTCAAAGAGTGCAAAGTTGGATGCGAGTTGACTTTTCAAAAGCTCTCAGCTAGATGCAACGTATGATGTCTCCTCTAACCCAGCGCCTTTTGCTGCTGCTCGTCTGCTTGACTTTCCCCGTGTTTGGAGTGGAAAAGGTGAGAAGTAGAGGATACCGAAAGGATCCTGACGCTGATAAGGTAAGACACATTGCCAATAACTCGGTCGACATCACGATAAAGCGATGTGGCATTTTCCATGGAGGGGGGACCTTGTGGACCAGCGTGCTGCGTCCAGGATGAGTGTCACTTTTTATTCATAGTTAATAAGCGCACGTTGATGTTTGAGATAACTGAATTGATAGTCCACATCAAATCCACAGGCTACAGTAAAAAAAAATGGCCACAATGTGAGTCCGCGCTGAATTATCTTTATTTTGGCCCCTAGAATTATGTGCTACAGTTTTGGAAATGTGGCGGGGTCAGCTGGTTTTTCTATTATTATTTCAGCTATGGTTTGGTGACAGAAATAAGGCCAAACGGGAAGCATACGGCCTCCCTCTTGATCTATTTTATACTTTATCGGTTTAAACATCTGTTTCAATGCCATAAAAATGGACCCCATATAAAGATATGCTTTATATTCTCATCACTTTCTTTTTTTCATGCACTTTTACCAATCAGGCTAAATCCTTGCAAGAATAGGATTTATAAGTAGCCTAGTGGGTGGCCACCGGTGGGATAGAATGCACACACATTCTCTGTCCGCTCTTGGGCATCTATCAAATGAAAGTGAAACTGTTTATTTGGCCAAGACTTTCCAGACCTCCCATTAGAAGTCTATACACCACACTTTGAGAAGCCTCGAGGCACCATTTTTGCTCTCATAATCTCCCTAAAGACCTTTAGTACTTCTGAGTTGCACTTTTCTCACCACAGTGGAAGGAAATGATGAACAGCATGTTGTTCTACAACGTAATCTTGTGGCATTGGAAACTCAAATTACACTTGGCTATCTGGGGGGAGGTCGATATTTCTGTTCAAACAGCATGGTTATCATAAAATACCCTCAACCCCCTTTTTTTTGTATTCACCCTGGAGTGCTGCCGTCCTCCATTCAGTGTGTCCCAGCCGAAGCATTAAATTCATCTGAGTTCTCAAAACTTTGGGCCAAATACAGCCTTCATGCTTGGACAGTAACGGGCTGTGCGTTTGGAATATTCAGTATTATTCATGCAGGCAGCACCAAGGCGGTATAAAAGTCAGCAGTTTGGCCGAGTGGACAGTGGATCCATTCATTAGTTTGCTGTGAATGTCAAACTAAAATTCAACACAGAGATGTTTTCTTCATTTTCATGTAAATCAAACCACCACTGAAACATCTTGTAGAGCACATACTTGGTCAAATAGTGGGGACAAATTTCAATGATATATTCCAGAAAATACATCGTCAGCTGTTTTTGACCACACGCTTCCCAGTTTCCTTCAGAACTGATGTAACATCAATAGATCGATCCTGCAAAACCACTCATGGCTAAAACAGACCCTCGGCCATCTGTTTCCCCAGCTGATGTTAGCACACCACAAATCCCTTTAATGGAGGCATTTTTTTCCAGATGCTCATCTTCTGAAGTATAATTTTAGATGCCACCCGAGGGATTCAAACGGAGATGTGGAGTAAAGGCTCTTTGTTCTCATCTCATGGCATTTTTCAACGTAATGTCATGCAAACACTGCTCGTTCAGCAAAATGCATTAACAGTTCGTCAGACATCCATTTATGGTCATGAGCTAGAACTGTTGCATGCCAACAGGTCAGTTTTTGTTTCCTGTCCTTATGGATGGGAATCACGCATAAAATCTGAATATATATAAATAAAGATTTCAGGTTCAGCTAAAAATGGAACAACTGTATAAACTATTGTCCATGCATTTTATGATTGACAATGTAATCTTCAGGACAAAGGGAACTTAGGCAGTCATGCAGGCCAAGGTCTTCATTTTGAATAGGTCTTTTTTTAGCAGCCCTGTGTATGTATTTGAGTCGGGTTGAGTAAGATGTAACATTTCTTTAAATATGGCGGCGAGACCATGAACACAACAGAGATGCGTGCCCAGACAAAGTAATATTGTAGCCAGCCTTTCAAATCCTATTGTCAACATGGCAATATGTCATTCATATGCGTCATGGTTGTTCCCGGTCCCATTGCATCTTATTTTCATTTTTGCTTACACACCAATGTCAACCCAGTAGTCGTTTGTAATTTTCTATGACTTTCAAATATTCTAGCTGGCTAATTTCAGGTGTTCACTTTGCAAGGACTTTAGCTCTCAGGAAGCACAAAGTTACATCATGAACATAATTGACAGATGAAATTCTAAACATCCACTTTCGACCCCGATTTGCTTGTTCCGGTAGTATGGCAGCTGCATGCAGGGTCCAGCAGGAACCCCCGGCAGAGACGGAAACCCTGGCGCCAACGGCATCCCGGGAACGCCAGGCATCCCTGGACGTGATGGTCTCAAAGGGGACAAGGGCGAATGTATCAATGAGCTCTTCGAGGAGCCCTGGAGGCCCAACTACAAGCAGTGTGCCTGGAACTCCTTGAATTATGGGATCGACCTCGGAAAAATAGCTGTAAGTACAATTTGCATGTGAGACAGAATGCAAATGGGAAATGCATTTATAAAAATAAGTAATAAAAGATATGGTAACCACCACTACATAAACTGACATTATTTGCCACGTATTATGCGGCTGGAAAATGTTGCAGATGGGAAACAAGTATCAGTCTCAGCAGCTACTTGGTCAGACCGGAGCAGGAACACCCAATTTCTGTGAATGGTTTAAATTGTCATTGTCTCCCTGTGAGTCATATTCAAGCTACAGTATTGATTTAGTCTGTGCTAGTTGCTCATACATTGCACTCCACTCCACACCGAAATAAGCAAAGTCTTAAAGCATAGCTTTTTATATTTCATGCAACTGTGGTATGGAAGTGTGGTCTGCACTTCACTGCATCAATAAATAGATAATATAGTATTACATTAAAAAAAAGCCCTATGAGGTTTTTATTTTTCAAAATGAAAATAGCATTTTACTACATTGCGATGTAGATTTGACCTTTTTTTTTTCCAGCCCCGAGTAGATCATGACATCAAACGTGCCAATCTCCTGCGCTGTCTTGTAGGACTGTACGTTTACCAAGCTGCGCTCAGACAGCGCCCTCAGAGTCCTCTTCAGTGGCTCCCTCAGGCTCAAGTGCAAGAACGCATGTTGCCAAAGGTGGTACTTCACATTCAATGGAGCAGAGTGCGCGGCCCCACTGCCCATAGAGTCCATCATATACCTGGACCAAGGCAGTCCAGAGCTCAACTCAACCATCAATATCCACAGAACATCCTCAGGTATGTTTACTGTCCAAAAGTTCAATTGCCTCTTGCACAACTCACTTGGAGTAGGTTCCAGCTCACCTGTGACCCTAATGAGGACATAGAAAATAGAGAGATGAACTTGAAAGGAAAACAGTTGTCCTCTTGTGGTGGCTGGGGTGACATCTTCCACACTGTGCTCAGTGGGTCTCTTTAACCCTTTCAGGGACAGCAGGTTACAGGTTTTCATATATTTTCAATATTTCACCACCTTTCAACCCTTTGAGTATTGTGCTTTTCACTTTACTTTCGGTTAGGTGGGAGGGAGCCCAAAAAAATGTATGTGGACATGCGTACCAGATACATCACTTTTATCGGTAGCATCACACTCTGTCCACCGACATACAGTATATACTGACTTAAGGCAAATGGCAGACCCACTTCTCCAAACAGGTTGCCATTCAATCAGAGGCCACATAGAGATAGACATTTTACAAACTCATTCACACCTTTACTGGGTGGAAATGAACTCACGTTGCTTATGTGGAAGTCAGCTGAGCAAACACCATCAGTTACTTTTAAACAGCAATGACTCTCGTAGTTTGGAGATGCAGTACTTACTACACACGCTAATAGTGAGGTCTATAAAAAGTTACAGTCCTATAAATGACATTAGGGATGGGCGGCACGGTAGTCGACTGGCTAGCAAGTCCGCCTCATATTGCAGAGGTACAGGGTTTGATTCCGGGCCCTGGCCTTCCTGTATGGAGTTTGCATGGTCTCCTCGTGCCTGTGTGGGTTTTCTCCGGGGACTCCGGTTTCCTCCCACATTCCAAAAACATGCACGGTAGGTTAATTGAACACTTTTGTCACGTCATGTGATTGTGACTGCTTGTTGGTGTATGTGTGCGATTGGCTGGCAGCTAGTTCAGGGTGTCGCCTGCCTACTAACCGAAGACAGCTGGGATAGGCTCCAACACGCCCGCGACTCTTGTAAGGATAAAGCCCTTCAGATAATGGATGGATGGATGGATTGATATTTGGGATGTACCGATCCGAATCACGTGATCAGAAATCGGGCCAGATGACATCACTTTCAGATGAGAGAAGATCAGGCATTTAAAAAATATCTTTTAATTTATTAAAAATGTTGAAAAAAAACATTTTTAAAGTCCTCTTAAGCAACAAAGGAATCCAGATGTACACATATTGGCAAAAGAAAAAAATATATATACACGTTTTACACTATAGCTATTTTTTTTAGCCGCCACTGTGGATAATTCCTGAGCAGTCACATTGTTCACCTAACTTAGCCAGAATTAAAAGGGAAAAACAAATTTCATGTGGCGCCATTAAGTTCTATGGTTCCTGGGAAGTCAACATTGGGAGAGGTCACATCACAATACACCAGTTTTGTGGTCATGCATTTTGGGTGTTCCCTACAATTTACATGTCCTGTCTTTGTCTCTGTTCTTTTTCTGTGTCAGTGGAAGGACTGTGTGAGGGTGTCAAAGCAGGGTTGGTGGACGTGGCTGTATGGGTGGGGACCTGCGCTGACTATCCCCGTGGTGATGCATCCACGGGGTGGAATTCGGTTTCCAGGATTATCATCGAAGAGCTTCCCAAATAAAAACAGTTACATAAGAGGAATGGGGTCAGCCCCGGTTCGTATGAGAGTATGTTATATCGTCTTCCAAAATGAGCTGATACGGTTTGCTGATGCCTCACAACCACACTGATGGGAACTTCATTTTTTGTGGACAGAATTTACGATTTGACAGGCCATTCACTTTACCAGGAATAACAAACTGTATTGTACTGTAATTTTTCTGTTTGCTGGTGCTCTCGGCAGTAACTGCCAATATGTTAACGTACCCATTTGACTTTTTTTTTTATATTGCACTTTCAGTGTTAATAAAATCTTTTTAAGCTTTTTCTAAAAGTGAACATACATGCTTTCAATTATATTTCTGCGTTTAGTTAAGCTGTATTTGTTAATACACACACACAAATGGGTAAATCAAAAACGACCTGCACTTTGTGCTGCAGTGCGCGCTCGTGTTTAAGTTCGATTCAATTTTCCCTGCAGGCGGGAACTTGCGTGTCGTGTGATTGCGATCAGGGAATATTTGTTTGATCAATTGTGCCACGTGTTTTATATACACATACATGGGACAGACATGGGTTAAACTAGATGCAAATTTAAATGTAACCATATAAAATAGATATTCAATGACAAAGCGAAGCAGGCTGAATTGAAACAAGATGTTGCTCCAAACAAAAAGAAACAAACAAAAAATAAATCACAGGAAGAATTTTGAGGGTGCATATTTGTTTCTCCAAAGCAGAACTGAGGAAATATAACCTGCTTACGTTGTTCTTTTCTTCTATGAATCAACATGACAATTCAGGCAAGAGTGCAGTTCTATGTTTATAGCAACAACTAAAAGTGCCAGGTATAGAACAGCTACATATATAAATAAAATAGAAATGTGTTTGAACAACATATCCTTTTTTTATTTTATTTTAACATGAAGTGAATTCTTAAAAATGGATAACTTAAAGTTGTATTGATTATCCACAGCGCATCTCATTCTTCAGACAAAATCCTACAAAAATCTAACTTTGACATTTCTAATTTTGTGAAGTCCTTTGCAGACATTTTCACATCTGTGTAAAGACAAAAAAGAAAAGAAACCCAAAAACATTACATCCTTAAGAGTGCAGCACAAATGTGCAGCACTGGTCAGAAATCAATCAACCGCACTGAGAGGTTCAGCAAGGACACTTGAAGCCCTCCTTTTCAGTGCAATATGCACTGAGGTTCATTTTCCGGGTACTGATATTCTGACTGGCCATTCAGTCACTCTTGCTGTGTTTGGCACCTACGCAATTGTGTATCCTGTTTACTGTTGGACCTCGCTAACTTGGGCCAAGGAGGAAGCGGGAGACATTCTCATAAACTACAAATGTAATGCAGCAGGCTGGAGTGACACGAATCAGGTTCGGGATGATGCCTTTGTAGAACCCAGGGGCGCCTTCATTCCTGCAGTGGGATCAGTGAGAGTTACACACGCCATCTTTCTCATCCACTCAGCGATAGGTCAGACTTGACTTGTAGAAGGCATCACTGTTCTGACCAAGCCACGCTAACATACCTCCAGGTCCGTCTGATGACATCCACAACACCGTCATATCTGTTGTGCTGGTCTTGCAGTCGAGCTCGCACCACTTGATATGGGTACGTCGTAGCCACAGCAAATAATTTGGACAGTGCCGCCATCGTGATGTATTCCAATGCATTCTGTCGAATGGGTCGGAGTGATCGAAGAAGCAAGAAAAGTCTCAGCGAGTGAGTCATACGACATACAAAGTCCATCAACTGTGGTCTACCTCTGAGTCAGCTGAAAGGTGTGGGGTGCTAATAACTCAGTTGAGGCTGTCTGCGGCTCACGGGGTTACCGTAAATGACTCACCAGCTTTGTGTCTGAAGGAATTTTCTTGTATTTACTGTAGTCTCTCTTGAGCTGCTCGTAGGCCATGAACTGCAGCGCACCATGGGATGTTCCAAAGAGACCGGGAACGTAACCCTTTAAGATTATGCCTTGTAAGTAATTTGATTGACTTTCTCAAACGTCATCTCACAGCAAAACACAACATGCAATACTTGCTGTCACAGGGGAATTTGAACTAATTATCAAAACGCAGAGAATATAAAACAGTGAATACACCGACTGACATGATGACCAACTGCACATCTAATATCTTTGGTTACTGACTCATCTAGCTAGACAGTGGAGTTAAGATACTGTATGACTCTTCGTATGATTCAATACAGTTCTACACCACTGCAAACTAACACACTGAACAATGCAGGTTAATTCAATATAAAGTGAAAACAGATTTGTTTCCAAATAGGTCATACATGTTTGAAGATAATGGATTGACTGCACAAAGCACAAATTATCATACACAGAAACGAATTAATTTGGAAGGTGAGCCTCCTTGGAAGTTACCATTGTTTTCATGGCGTGTGTATACACGACAACTGCATGATTTTTCACAATTTTGAAGCCTCATTTTATATCCTTGGCAACGTTGTTATGGAACTTGTTACAAGTGAAATGGTCAAAGTTATGGCATATTTTGTTGTATTTAACTGTGTAGACCTGTTTATAATCAATCATGATAAATCAATAATTGGTCTGTATAGACAAAAAAAAAGACGATTTCTTCATTTGTTGTTTTTTAATTGGCTTTATTGTGTATTGACTAATGTGGTAGGCCACATTTATGTTATTCATGGTTGTTATTACTTATATTATTAGCGCTTAATACTTATATTATTAGCGCTTAGTGAAAGGTGATTTCAAAAGTTTGCATTTGGCCAATTCAAAAGCAAATGATGCGGTGATGTAAATAAAATTGTTTTCCATTATAATTTAACGACAGGACAGTGCAACAAAACAGCTATTGACTGGCCTGATTCTTACAATGTTCAGTGGAGTGAACGTTGGCTTGTTTAAGAGATTATCAGAAAAAAAAAAAGGGCACCACAAAAGTGTAGTATTGTTGCCCTCTAGTGGTGATTATGCAAATAGCAGTCAAATGTACTGTGGTAGTCGCATCCGTTCTGGGTTTGCTTGGAAATATGATCGTAGATGGTACTGGCTACATTAACAATGCCTTGTGGCAGAGTTGAAGACTGACCTTGTAGAGACCAGACACCCCTTCAGTGCGGTAGATCTTGAACAAGGCATCCAGCATCCCCTTGTATTGTTTACTGGTTGAGTCAGAACTGTACTGCAATACAAGCCTGGTCTTGGTCACCCAAATGGGGTTTGTTATGGTGAGCGTTAGAACGCCTGAAGCGAGAGGAACACAGATGACATCGTATGTGCAATTATGACATGCTTTCCAGCTGTTCAACTTCACAGAAGGACGTTTTGAGATGTCAAACTTAATTTGGGCAGGGTGAGAGAAGTTACTGTACATGTGGAGCAAAACAAAGTCAATACAGATCAGCATTGCCAGTGATTACTGTTCAAGCAAAAAGGTAGTGTGTGAACACACATACAGGATAGTTTAAACGAACCTGCTTCGGCTGCAGACACCAAATGTTCGGTAGCACTCAGTTCCGTATGGCGGCCTTCCTTTACGTAAGCTTTGATTGCATTGTAGCTGTGGATGAAGCAGTGTGTCATGGTACAAAAAAAAAAAAAAAGGTCGGGTAAACAAACAAGTAAACGAACAGACTTACAAGAAAAAGTAGAGACCCCAAGAGGCACCAGCACCCCACACATTGGGTGTTACTCCTTGATAGAGTCCTCTCAGTCCTTCCTGGTGCCACACACTCTTCATGCAATGCAGTATACCATTATACTTGGGTCTCAATTCCAAACCATCACTCACTGCAGCAAAAATATATGAAAGTGTATTTAGTCTTTGCAAGTGAATGGGCCATCATGGAAAACAATCACAACACTCATAAACGTTTGTTTTAATGTTTTATGCCGATAATCGCCAAATAATATTGAACACAGGGGTTTAACAGTTTAACCTTGACTACATTAATGATAACACGGTGGCTTTACTTAAAGCTACTTGAATTCTATTGAATTAACAACTGTTGGAGCATTGATTAAATATTTGACATCCAGCTTCAGGTCATTTACCTCGTATGCTCTTTTTGTTCATTTCAGTGCACTAGTACAGTGATTCTCAACCTTTTTTCAGTGATGCACACCCTGTGAATCCCCCCCACCGCTCCCCCCAATACACTCTAATCAACGCAAAGCATTTTTTTGGTTGTGAGAGAGAGAGAGAGAAAGAGAGAGAGAGAAAGAGAGAGAGAGAGAGAGAGAGAGAGAGAGAGAGAGAGAGACTTAAAACAGCATGCTGTGCCGTCATGGTCTGATTTATTAAACTTTAGAACTTAATTTGCGTCGTGGTATCTCTTTCACTATTTGGAAATAAAAATACTGGATATAACAAAAAAAGCAAATGAATACCGGTAATTGACTTGTATATAAATAAAGATTTGTCCACATAAAAAGTGACCTCCTCTGGGATCATAATAAAGATTTGTTCTCAAAAAGAAATCTTAATTTTAAATAACATTTTCAAGTGATTAACAGGTGATGCTAGGTGGCATATGGCTGGATCCAACCATTGGGTCAGACTCTGGGATTTTAGGATAATGCAATTAAATAGTTCAATGAATACAACGTTTATTTTATGGGGTTATATTTTTCTGAAATACTGTATATTCATAGTTTAACAATTATTTTTGAAGGATTTTTTTCATGGATTCTAGGTTTTAAATAGATTTGAAAATGTCACGTACCTCCAGGGGATACACTGCCATTTGAGAACCCTTGCACTAGTAGAACCACGATTAAACATTAGTCGAATGACTGTGTCTTAATAACACGTTTTTCCACTACAGTGCCATTTTTGGCCTGCTGGTGTCACGGTAAGGTAGATATCAATGATATCAAATAAAAACGCAATGGTTTTGATGTCCTTGATATTAAATAGGTGCACAAACAGCTTTTAATAAATACATTCAGTACTCATGATATTGTTTTAGATTTTTAAATGAGTATTTTTTAACTGAAATAGAAAACTATATAAGAAAAAAATGCTGATCATTTTATTGTAATACAGTATTGACAGTATCCAATAGTTTAGAGCAGTGGTTGTTAACCTTGTTCGAGGTACCAAACCCAACCAGTTTATATGCACATTCACCGAACCCTTCATTAGTGAAAAATAAAAATATGATTATTATTTTATTTTTATTTTTTTACGAATTCAAGACATTAAAAAACGCATTTATTAAAAGAGAAAAAGTAAACAATTAGTATAAGTATAAAGTATACGTTTTTTAATTGTGCACAAAATGAACCAGCCAGTGATGACCAAGCAGGCGTGTCATAACTAATTGTCATGTTGAGTCGGGTGTGTCTTAACCTCCATGGCAGAGGTTCTGTCGAACCCCTGAGACTGATTCACCGAACCCCGAGGGTTCGATCGAACCCAGGTTAAGAACCACTGGTTTAGAGTATGTTGATATAAGCACCGAACCCCGAGGGTTCGATCGAACCCAGGTTAAGAACCACTGGTTTAGAGTATGTTGATATAAGCACCGAACCCCGAGGGTTCGATCGAACCCAGGTTAAGAACCACTGGTTTAGAGTATGTTGATATAAGCACCTCACCTGCAAACCTGATTTTGACCAGGTCGAGAGGATGAAGCACCAGCGTTGACACAACTCCTCCGCTTAGTCCTGCCACCAAGTTTTCTACCTTCACACGTTTGAAAACCTGCAGGACATGTCCGGCGAATGACACAGCAGGGCCCGGTTTGCCATCACTAACGCCGACGGTGCCGTGATCTGGGCCAGCGCTCATGTTTACCTATTTTTGTCGTAGCTCGCAAAAGCTAACTGCGTTTACAGCACGTGATCACAAGTCTCCAATGAGTCTATGAGGTAAATCATAGTCTTAACTCTATTGTCGTCACGGTGTTGCTGCGATGTAACTTCTTTGAATGTCTCATTGTGAATCCACGCTAAGTCGTGACCCACGTTTTTGACATGTGGCGTCAAATACGACTGAAAGGTACATTACCCAACCATATGTCAAGTAGCCGCCGCTGGTCGACCTTGGTAGGAGGTTCAAATGAGCTGACGTGATATTGTAGTACTTCCGATTTTTGAATTTCAACTTAAAACATAATTTGAAAACACAACGTAAATAATGGCCACCAAGGTTATTTAAATTCCCTTGGTCGACATTGACATAAATCCTTTTGATGACATTTTGTAAAACCGTGGTCTTATGGGTCTATAAATCTGTCATTTGAAAATCACATTGCTTAATTTTGACTTGAAATTGGTAACCTGATGCAGGTTTTTAATTACCGCTGTGTGGTCATATGTCTCCCATACCTTTCTCACAATTGCTGAATTTCAGCGGTGGGTTATGTACAAGCATACTAAACGCTGTTTAGGAAACAGATGATACGGAGCAATACGAGGTAACGTGTTCACTTTCCGGATATGTCGACTACAACTCTAGTACACGCCTTCTCTGACGTAACCAGAGGACAGGGATTGTCATCCCATAATGCATCGCAGTTTCCCGAAACGGATGTTTCCAAACCGACACATGGGCTGCAGTTTTAGTGATTATTTGAATGATTCATTCCCTAACCAAACGCAAGTGTATTTTAACATTATTTTTTTCACATTAAGATGAAAGTAAAAGTACTTTCGAGGAACCCGGACGACTACGTCCGGGAGACCAAACTGGATATTCAGCGTGGTAAGTAAAGTAAACCTGGCTAGGCGAGCTGCTAACACTAGCCATTTTGGTAAGCATAATGCTGTTCTTAAGTCCGATTTTTATAAGAAGTCATTGGATTTTGCACCTCTTGTTTAATAAAATACATCAACAATAAAATATTTTTTACCGCATGTGAATTGCATGATAGAAATCTGCTGTTTAACCTGAAGTGTAATTATATTGTATTTTGCTAGTCACTAAGGTGTGCATGTGTCGGGTGAGCACCAAAAAGATTTGATGCACCGTATTTATTGCTTGACATGTCAATCGTTGTTGCCAGTTCCCAGAAACTATGACCCTACACTTCATCCATTTGAGGTGTGCAGAGAATACACCCGGGCCCTTAATGCCACTAAACTGGATAGGGTGTTTGCAAAGCCTTTCCTGACCGCATTGGATGGACACAGAGATGGTGTGAACTGCATGGCCAAGCACACCACGAGCCTATCCACATTGCTGTCTGGCTCTTGTGATGGGGAGGTAATTACTCAATAAATATTTTTAAAATTATTGTGTGCGTTGAAATGTGTGTGTTGTTTGCACAGCTGTGTGGCAACACTCAAAAGTCTGTTTAATTTCATCCCTAGGTTAAAGTGTGGAATCTCTCCAAACGTGAATGCCTCCGCACCATTCAAGCCCATGAAGGATTTGTCCGTGGAATGGTTGTTCGCTTCTGTGGAACTTCGTTCTTCACGGTGACTGGTACTTTTATCATGCAAGAGATTCACTATTTACTTCTTCCCCATCAGTCTTTGTATTTCAGTGCTAACAGAAATGTTCTATTTACCAGGTTGGGGATGACAAAACAATCAAACAGTGGAAAATGGAGGCCCCAGGTTATGGTGAGGCTGTGGAGCCACTTAATACAATTCTGGGCAAGGTATGTAGAGCAGGAACCCTTTGGTTATTTTTAGTAATGGACCATTGTGCTCTTAATGGCGTATGGATATACAAATGGACAAAGTTCAGTAAAATTGTCAAGTGAAAAGAGTATTCGTCCATTGCAGACAGTCTACACAGGGCTTGCCCATCATCAGAAAGAAGGTGTGTTTGCAACATGTGGCCAGCAGGTGGACATCTGGGACGAGCAAAGGAGCAGCCCCATCCGTTCTTTCACCTGGGGTGTGGACAGCTTTAGCTCTGTCCATTTTAACCCAGTGGAGGTGAGCCGATGCATCAACTAGCACATCAAGTTTATCCTAATTCTGTCACACGGGGGAAAATGGTTTCCAGTAATGGGTGCATACATGCTCGTCAGGGAAGTTGGATCGTTGAGAAAGCAGTATTTAGTATTAATATCCTTTTGACTTTTCCACATTTCGTGATGTTACAACTACAGACAAATGTATTTCGTTGTGATATTGTGATAAACCAACACAAAGTGGTACAAGGTCGTGAGGTGGTAAGAAAAATGATACATAGTTTCCATTTTTATTTTTACTCATTTAATCCCACCCATTTCCACTGGAGCAAACCCCTCAATCCTAGCCGTTTTACTGCATTTTGACTGATTTGCAGGGCCCACAAATTATTGTGTTCTTGTTGTGATATAAACATGCAGCGTACCAAAAGAAAGATGAGACTCTCCTCTTTCAGCTGAAAAGAAAAAGTTTGATTCTATCTTTTTCCGTTCTCCAGCAATCAGTATTAGAAAATAGCTAAATTTCATCAGATTTCCATTTTACTTTACACATTCTAATTCATGATTTTTTTTGAAGGGGAAGTCAACCCAAAGAGTTTCTTTACAAAATATGTTATATGCAACCCTACTTGTAGAAACACGGCATTCTGATTCATATTTTGTTTGTGGAATATGAGTTAACGCATATTCCATAAACGCAATGTGAATCAGAATGCAGTCTTGAGACTAGTGGAGGCGCATAGAACATATAACCGTAAAGAACATTTTTCGGGGTGACTTTCCCTTTAAAGAGGAAAAAAAATAACGGACCCATTGTGGAAAGTAATTGCTAAGTAAAATCTAATAACTGGTTGTGCCACCATTCACAGCAAGAACTGAAATCAGCTGTTTGTGCTACATGTTGAACAGTGTTTTGCATTGCAACGAGTATATATTTTAGATTTATGAAAAAAATGTGACATAGGTGGTTCTGGACCAACATCAGCGGTGTGCTTTTTTTCAATTTGACCGTGATTTTGAAAACCATTATAAGATGGAGGTACATGGGTTCGCAAACTTAGAAAGGCATTCAAAAGGCGTCGTTTTGTCATGAAAATTCTTGCAGGTATGTATCGATCGGGGTTGCCCGGCCTTCCTGGCTATCAACTTCCTTGCTGTTATTCGGTTGGGACTTTTGGTTTGACTTCTCTGCCACAGCTATCTTCAGGGCGAGGCTATATGTTTGTTCTCTAAGTCCAAATGATTTTGATTTGTGTCACGTGTAGGTGTGATGGTGTGACACTAAACAAAGTGTCGGAATGGTATATGCTTATACAAGATCGTCTCAATACTGTTGTGTTGACCATATTTTATTGGGGTTTTTTTTCAGACTGAACTCCTTGCGAGCTGTGCCTCTGACAGAAGTATCATACTGTACGACATGAGAGAGGCTGCTCCGCTAAAAAAGGTATAGTGATGCCACACCCTAGCTACAGTTTTCAACCCTTTTTACCCTTTGCAAGAATATATTATCTTTGTTTCTGTCTTTAGGTTATCATGACAATGAGGAGCAACACCTTGTGCTGGAATCCGATGGAGGCCTATTATTTCACATCTTGTAATGAAGACTATAAGTGAGTGAACCGATGAGACCTTCAGATAATTCTAATTGTACAAATCCAATTCTCATTAAGTTCGGACGTTGTGTGAAACATAAATAGAAACAGAATATGGTGATTTAGATTTAATTGAAGACAGTACAAAAACAAGATGCTTCATGTTCAAACTGATAAACGTTATTGGTTTTCGAAAATAATCATTAACTTAGAGTTTCAATAGGAGACAGGTCTGGACCACAGGCAGGCCAGTCTAGTACCTGCACTCTTTTACTACAAAGCCACGCTGTTGTCAAACGTGCAGAATGGGGTTTGGCATTGTCTTGCTGAAATAAGCAGGGGCACCCATGGAAAAAAAACGTTGCTTGGAGGGCAGCATATGTTTCTTCAAAACCTGTATGTACCTTGCAGCATTAATGGTGCCTTCACAGATGTGTAAGTTACCCATGCCATTGACACTAACACAGCCCCCATAGATGCCAGATTTTGAACTTTGTGCCCATAATAGTCAGGAGGGTTCTTTTCATTTTTGGCACGGAGGCCATAGTGTCCACAATTTCCCAAAGGCAGACTCGGAACACTTTCCAATTCGCATCAGTTCATCTGTGATTAGCTTGAACTCAGAGAAGCCGGCAGCGTTTCCGGGTGTTTTTGCTAAATGTCTTTTGCTTTGCATAGGAAAGTCTTAAGTTGCACTTATGGATGTAGCGCTGAACCAATTTACTGACATTGGTTTTCTGAAGTGTGCCTGAGCCCATGTGGTGATATCCCTTACACACTGATGCCGGTTTTTGAAGCAGTGCCACCTGAGGGATCAAAGGTCACGTGCATTCAAAGTTGCTTTTTGGACTTGCGTGTTGATTTCGCCAGATTCTCTGAACCTTTTGATGGTATTATGGACCGTAGATGATGGAATTCTTAATTCCTTGCAATTGTATGTTGCGGAACATTGGCCTTGAACTGTTGGGACAATTTTTTTTCTCGCAGTTGTGCACAAAAAGGTGAACCTCGCCCCATCTCTACCTGCGAATGCCTGAGCAATTCAGGGAAACTTCTTATATCCCAAATCATGGCACCCGCCTATTCCTAGTGAACCTGTGGGATGTTCCAAAACAGGTGTTTGAAGAGCATTCATCAACTTGAGAACATGTTGCAGCCATAAAGTTCTAAGTTAATGATTATTTGTTAAAAACAATAAAGATGATCAGTTTGAACATGAAATATAATGTTTTTGTAGTGTTCAATTAAATATAGGTTGAACATGATTTGCAAATCACTATTTTGTTTTTACTTAGGCGAAACACAATGTCCCAATTTCATTGGAATTGAGTTTATATTATAAAATGACACATTTTTTGACACACTGTTGTTCTTTGACGACAATTTTTTGACAAGCTTCTTAACGTCTCTGTGTCTGTCTCTGCAGTCTTTACACGTATGATATGAGATACCTAAACAAGCCGGTCATCGTACACGTTGATCACGTGTCTGCGGTGCTGGATGTTGACTATTCCCCTACTGGCAAAGAGTTTGTGTCTGCCAGTTTTGACAAGACTATCCGCATCTTCCCCAAGGATGCTGGCCATAGTAGGTCAGTGCCAGCCTGTAT